ATATTAGTATAGATTCTATACTATAAAAGAACATAACCTTTCACAAGTTAGTATTTTAGACAGTAGCCTACAATAGGGTTGGTATATTGCATCTGGAGTCTCTTGTCTCGTCTACTTCAAACACAGGTATTATTCTCAACTATAAACCCTTAGGGTTGAAAGTCTACCTACAAGTGCACTAATAAACGTTAATACTAAACCAGAACGATTACCTAGTCGTCAATAATAACACCAAATTACCTCTCAATTTCAAGTAGCCTCTTCGAAATACACCCCCAATAAACACCCCTTAAAATTAGATTTTATAGCTGGCTTTGTGATGAGGAGCCAGCCATTCCTCTAAGCTTAAATATTTCTCGAGACATAAAACTAAAATCCCAACCGTTTGAGACTCTCGCTTGACGGAGGAAAGTTGATACTTTCCGTTGTCTGATTTTGAGTCCTGAAAGTGGAAATCTCTGTTTTTAAAGTTTAGTTTTCCTTTATCTAATTTTCTTTATTTTATTGATGTTTAACAGAATTGCGGTGCTTATAAGTGAATGGTGTAAGTATTAGTATGAGGAATGGGCATACTAAAGACTGTTAGTTCAATCAAAATATCGTTGATTATACAGGGTGAGTGTGAAATAAGTGCAAATATTTTCAGGACTGGTAGTATTTCGATAAAAGAAACATATTTTCTCTTTACCGTTTTTCAAATAAGTCCAAAATAACCGAGTTATTGACGTTTGAACATTAAAAAAATAGTATATTGTTTTATTAGGAGTAAAAATGACACTTTTTGTGACGAGGCTATACGTTTGGCATAGAGACGAGGCACAAAAAGTCATTTTTACTCCGAATAGAACATGCTATTTTTTTCAAACGCCGCAAATAATTTTTTAAACAATTTCAAACGTTCCAAATAATATAAAAAGGTTTATTAGTCATACCTTGTATGAAATTATATATGATTTTGACATTTATGTCAGCTTAATAATATATTTTCGTACTTTTACGCTTAGGCGTAAAAGTGCTTTAGTTTTATGTCTAGGCGTTAAAATGACTTTTTTATATTGTCAATCACGTCGCAAAAATTATTACTTTTGTGACATTTGAAAAAATATATATTTATTTAACTTAATTAAAAAAAACTGAGAGTCAACGGATTTTTTTTTGTATTTTTTTATTTTTTAATTTGTTAAGATCAAAAATATACAGGAAAATTAAAAAAATGGCACGATTTTCAACACCTTTTTTTGTAAAAAAATTCTCGTAGACGTGTTCGTGGGTCGAAATCCTCCACCACTAAAAATATTTGCACTTAATTAAGGCTCACCCTGTACGTATAGTGATTACGAAAAAAAAAAATATTATTTATATTCATTAAAATTTTGACTATTTCATAAAGTTTCCTGTTCCAACTATTTAAATTATCATCAGCGTTACAGTGTTGCAGCTTCATTGGAAAAGTAGTGACATATTTGTCTTTTTGAATGGAACACCCGGTATATTGCTTATATTTTTGAAAAGTTATATTATTTCCCATATTTTACTGCTAAACTTACTATCCTGTCTGGCCTAATTGTAACAGTATGTTGAAAGCTGAATTGGGATATCATTACAGGATATTAAAAATATTTTTTTACACGTCAAAAGTATTAATTTTTGCGACGTGATTGACAATATAAAAAAGTCATTTTTCTACGACTAGCCTAGAAAATGCAGTTTGACACACGGAAAACTCGATCTGAAACTGGCGTTTTGCAAACTGTTGACATGTGCCAATTTTAACATTTTTAACCTCCAATGTTTAGCTGAAACGCCAAACCATAGACAAACAAATAAAATGAGACTGACACATCTCATGGTAAAGAGTGGGACCGCGTTCCCGTAGCGCAACTCAGAATAACAATTTTGAAACCAATTAGCAGGACAATGGCAGGACGTACGTCTTTATTGCTATCTTTCTTTATTATGTGTGCTTTATATGAAAAAGAAAGAGATAGGTATAAAACGTATCGTAAGACATTATCGCACATTATGGCTGGCGGAAAATTTAAATTAGCCATTATTAGTAGTATTCTTTCATTCTGAAACTGAAAATTTTCACTTAAACTGATTTATTCCCTATACCACGTAAAGGTAACAAAAATCATGGTGTAGGGAATAAATCAGTTTAAGTGAAAATTTGCAGTTTCTTTCAGAACGAAAGAATACTACTATTATAAGGGAAATTATAAAAAAAGCAAAAATTGTACTGTTTTATAAATATATTTATTTATACATAAAAACAAATAAACTTTTTATAATATAATAACAAAAAATAACAGTGTTTATTCCACCCACCTACCAATTTTAAATGCGGAAGAACTGACTGTTGCAGGAAACGATCTGCCAATTTTTTTAAAGGACATTAAAAATCTCATTTTCGAAAAAACTGCCTAATTGCCATAACAAAGTGAATGAAGCAAAGAAGCAAAGAAGACTTTACGAGAATCATGATCCTGAACCATTTTGAAGTCCAGTTTTAATCCTAAAACAAAAGTAAAATAGGTATATTAATAAAGTTTCTGGTTACTATAAACCAGCTATAAACTACCTACCCAAAAAATGAAAAAAATTAATTGTATTAATTTGTTATGTTAAGAAAGGTTCGAAATATTTTTGACACTACTACTTCTACTTTTTCTTAATAAGATGATAAATATAACTACTTACTTTTATTTTACTGGGTGTCTTTAACATATCTATCAGAGAAAGGGGGCACCAATACATATAGAAAATAGATGATACTGGCTCCTGCAGCAAATAAAATATCAAATAGTATAACCTAAAATTATAAGTAACAAAATATAAATACCTATATGGAACAAAGGAATTTGTTCCCTATCCATATTCATAAATCAATAAAATGGAGAGTTTAGAAAAAAAGGTAAATCACCAAAAGAAAAATTAACAAACATGACGAATTGTCATGATGTTATCATCTTGGTTGTCATGATGACGAAAACGAAAGGCGATTGTTCTAATTTCTATTTAGAAATTACGTTTTATATGGCTGCTTCTTTCTCTCTTGTTATGTTAGAATGAGATAGTGGGCCCAATAGACGCAATGCGCAGATCAACATAAATAGAACGAAATTTTGCGTTCAGAGTTGGGCTACGGGAACGTTGTCCCTCTCTTTGCCATTTAATTTGCCAGCAGGGCCAGTCAACTGAGATATACGACCTTGAACGATCTTTTTTTGGGGTAGTAATTTCCTGGGGCGCTAGATGGCGTATTTTTATTTTAATTTTTCTAGTTGCCTAACAATTGCGTACAAAATTGTTTTTATAGTTGCCTAAATAGGCCTATTAATTATGTTCTGTCATTGTTCTGTATGTCAAATCAGTTTTCCGTTTCCGGCTTCCTCCTTCCTCTTCAGTTGTGTTTTGCAATTGAACGGAGATGTGCGTTTCGCTGTTTTCTGGTTGTTTGGCTGTGTTTTTTGCAATCTTCATTTTACAATCTTGATTTTGTATATTTGAATTTTTTTGAACTTTGTTTTGTGTTTGATTTTTAAGATCTTTATTAAAGGTAAGGTTTAAGTTAAAGGTCTTTTTTTTATCTAACAATTTTATTTAATAATCCGAGAAAGTGAGGTGAGGTAACCTAACCAAGTCCAAATATTCGTGAATTTTTTTTTAACAATGTAATATTTACAACGCCATATATTTTTACAAAAAAAAATTGATCAACTCCATATTTTTGTACATAAACTCCACAATGTGATATTACACAATTGTTCAAGTCCATATGTAAAAAATACACGTAAATAAAACATTGTTTCAAATGGACGTCACTTTCTCTTGTATTCCAACGATATTTGTTATGTGTTCTTAAATCTGGTACTATAATAAATATTATACTTTTTAATCTGTTGTTTTATTTGTTTGTAAAATGTTTCATGGTATAATTTTCTGTAAATTAAAATAAATTATTTATTGTAGGTTTTTATGCACATACAATGATATAAGCAAACCAGTTACAATAGTTTAACCTGGTTTAACCTTTATATATAAATCCTTGTTTTTTACCATTTGACTTGTTTGCCAGCTTGGGACCAATCAGATGACTACACATTATTTTGTAGAAATCTGATTGGCTCTAACTGGCGAACAAGTCAATACGTCTTGCTTAAAAATAAATTGCATCTATTTAAATTTGCCGCCACATTTGTTACTTTCCTGGGTGGCTAGATGGCGCCACTTCAATATACAGATTACAGATTTCTTTACAAATTTGAAACCGTTTTGAAACTAAAAAATGCATGGGAGTTAGCGTTCTTCTTTAGTGTGTTCTGTGTTTGCCAGTCTCTTTTTATTTGTTTGTCTATGCGCCAAACGCAACGAAGCCGCCAGCAAAGTGTCATCATGACATTGCAAATTATTTCACAAAATTGGCAAAAACTGAGTGAGTGTGCTGCTAATTTGTAGTCGTAGAAAAAATAGCGTAAAAAACTCGTTCGTAAACTTCTTTGTACACTCGTTCGACTTGTGGCTCTTGCCTGCGGCTCGAGCCAATAAACTGTTGAACTCGTGTGCAAAACGTCGTTTTCGAAACCTGGTTATCAAACTGACATAGAGCAACATAGAGTATGAAATCTGAGAGCGTAACGTAGTTTCTCACTATATAATTCCAAGGTATTACTTTTAAATTTGTAATAATGATTTTCATTTAAATTTGATCGAGTACAATCTGAATATTCTCTTACCGATTATTCAAACCAAACTTAAATTGTCAGAATTACCACCATACTTGTTCGCTGTTTTCGTATTAACTATTTTGGGTATCTACAAATGGAAATGGAAGCTACAACTTCATGGTACTTATAGTATACCATTTTAGACGCACAATTCAGCAGTGTTTTCCACAATTTTGGGGTTTATTACAATTCTTTTTCCATATAACTGAAAATACTTTTTTACCACTCTGTATAGGCTGTTTTAAGCAAAGTTTGTTTTTGTTTGTGTTGCAGAAAAACAATGCACCGAGAAGCTGTGGCCGTTTTATTGATGGGCTGCCTTTTGGGGTTAAGTGTCCGGACATCGGACACCAAGGCCGTGGAAAAGAAAGATGGCCGACCGGATATTGCGGCCGCGTCGGACAGCGCCGGACAGCGTCCGGGGAAACTTCAAAAACGAAGTTACGCCAACTACAGACTGATAGATCGAAACTATATCACCCTCTTGGAAGCTTCCCAGGTACGTTTCTTTTTATTAAGTTATTTGTGAGTATCCTCGACTGTCATCGTATATTTAGGTTTTACTTTGAGAATTCTATACCGTATGATAAAAAAAAGAGTGAAAGACGGTTGGGGCATGAGAATTTATGATAATTTTGGCCAGACCAATCTCTAGACTACTACAAAATTAACTTTTCAAAAATCAACACTACTTATAGAAAGATCTATTTCCAAAAAATATTTTTTTTTCCAACGTCACAAAAGCATTAATTTTTGCGACGTGATTGACAATATAAAAAAGTCATTTTAACGCGTAGGCATAAAAGTAAAGCACTTTCATGCCTAAGCACAAAAATACGAAAATATATTATTAAACTGACATCAAATTCAATGAGCGTAACCGTAGTTTCTTCCTATACAGGGTATCCCAGAAATAAGTGCAAGTAGTATAGTTCAAACCCAGAAACACAATGAGGTTTTTTTCGCGAAAAAATGTTTTGAAAATTCGGGATTTTTTGAAATTTTTTTAAACATAATTTCTTGATAATATGGCAACATAGGCAGTAGATTAAATTTACAAGAAAAAAAAATCCAGAAAAGATCCAGTGGTTCTCAAAATTTTAGCAAAAAATAATTTGTTTTTGGAAATTTTCAAAGTAAAATAGCTCCGTTATTTTGGATTTATTAAACGATAAAGAGAAAATATGTTTCTTTTATCGAGATCTACCACCCCTTAAAATACTTGCTCTAATTTCTGGGACACCCTGTATAATTACATACAAGGAATGACTTTTAATAACTACAAAAGTCATTTTTACTCCGAATAAAACAATATATTATTTTCTCGAATTTTCTACTACACCATTTAAAAATAATTTTTACCCAATATAAAAATAAATTGCAACCACTAAACAATAGTTGACTCACCCTGTATAAGATTGTTTACTTTTTTTAATTAAACATTATTTTACTAAGGCACGATCCAAACAATAATTGATTGTGAATAAGCTGATTTAAATGTATTATGACTATTGTACTGTGTACGGGTAACCTTTTATATTACTTTTTTATTGCCATTTTTTCTCGTTGCTTAAGAATGCCAGAAGCGGATGACTCTATAGATCCTATTGTGCAGTAATCAGTAGATCCGATCAAAAAATCAAGCCATCATCTCTAGAAATATCAAGGATTAGTTTTTCATTATAAGTTATACCGTTAAAATGAACTATTTGAAAGGCAAATTTTTTTTCTAGCGAATATTTTACCAAAGACATTTAGTTACAAGATTGGTTAGTTTAACATCTTAGCAAAAAAAAAACAATAATTCAACACAATACATCAAAACACGCATTTCGTTAATCATTTTAGCATGATGTCAACAGGGAACACTTAAAGGATGATTCACGGTACACCGGACCGTACCCGAGCCGGGCACGTTCCGTAAAGTAGACACCGAGCCACGTCCGGGCCTTCAATCACCGAGTGGACAACGGGGATCATGTCCGTGCCGATTATATTCTAGAAAACAGTGTTGCCGCAGTGGTACATTTGTACCAAATTTGATACTTTTAATTCTATTTGGTACAGTGGTACTACATTTTCAAATCCAGGATGATTCGGTACAATAATTATTTCCCAGGCGCACCGAAAATGAATAGATATTTAATAATTATCGTCGTTGATATTGCATTAAACGCGCTTACCGATACCATTCGGAGACAATCCGCATTAATTAACGACGTATTATAAACGTTGTAATGTCTATAGGGTTGCCTATATTAAATAACCCGAAGAAAAAACTTAAAAATTTGCTGTTTCTAACATGCTTCTATTTATTTTTTTTTTTTTAATAAAATTTAAGTTTTCCAAGTATCGTGTGTAGTATTAGAATTACTTACATTTCTTCAACCTATACTTATACTTGGGTTTTCTGAATTTCTATTTCATGTTTTTCGTCTCGATTTGTGTCTTTCTCCAGGAAGTTTTTTATGTAGAAATTTATGAAGAAATTCACAACGACCAAACCGGTTAAAGTCATTTGCAGATGTATTTTGTTGTGCTTTAAAAAATTGTACCAAAGTGGAACATTTTTAGTTTATAATGTGGTACGCGCTAAAAGTTGGGTGCGGCAATACTGCTAGAAAACACTCGCTATAGGCCCGTAGACGAACGAAGTATTTAGCCACGGCGGCTCATTTATGTTTGCCGCAACGGGGCCGGAACGTAGCGGATCCGAAGAAAAATGTACACCGACATTTCTTGGACGGGGCACGGACGCGTTCCGGCGAAGCTCGGACCGTGCTCGGCTTAGCATGAATGTATAAGTATAAATAACATTTGACAATGTTTGGCCGTGCCTTCACCGTCGCACGGCTCCGGCCCGTCACGGTGTACCGTGAATCATCCTTAAGAGTCTATTATGCTGTACCAAAAAATATTATAGTTTTAAGAACTCTCGTGTGGAAGCTTTTGTGATTTGTCACACGGTGGCGCTTTTGAACATAATCGAAGCCTGAAAATGCTAATATTTTAAATTTTGAGGACTACGCGCGGCGATATTTCGTACGGTGTTGCCAAAACATATTTTATTTCTCGATATTTAAAGAAATATGTATTGATTATATATTTCGTATTCGTTAGTACATGAGGCATTTTTTGTACCTTCTAATAAAAATTACTTCTATTCCAATAAAAAATTAACTAGTATGATTATGTGTTATCTGTGCTAGTATTAGGAAACTGGAGTAAATACGGAGAATATTAATTCGTTCTCTAAGAGGAGCACTACTAAGTAATTTTTTAAAATTCGACCCATATGGGGATGTAATTAGATAAAGGGGTGTAATTATACAAAAAAAATCTGTACCTACTAGGAGTATGAACTTTTGCACAGATGTGGCGCATTTGAACATTGATAAGCGATTTTTGGAAATATATAGCCTAAGGGTAGTGAAACTGGGGGGTGAAATTTTGTACAAAAAATGTTAGTTCTAGGAGTATGAAATTTTGTACAGAGTTTCCTTAAGTGACGAAAGTGAGTACCTAAAAGCTAATTTTTGACATTCATCCCCTAGAAATAAGGGATGAAAATTTGTACAAAAGTTTTTTACAATCGGTTTTAGAAGTATGAAATTCTGCACAGACGTTCCTTATGTAACGTAATTTGGCAGTAAGTAGCACTTTTTGGAAATTCGCCCTCTAAGGGTGTGAAATGAGGGGTGAACGTTCTGAAACAATTCTGTTGAAGGAATATGAAAATTTGCACAGAGGTTCCTTATGTAGCGTAATTGAATAATTAGGGCAATTTTTGGAATTCATTCCTTAAGGGGGTAATATAAAAGGTGAAAATTTGTATAATTTTTTATGTAAAATTCGTTCTAGGACTAGGAGTATGAAATTCTGTTCAGAGGTCCCTTAAATGATGAAAGTGAGTACCTAGAAGCGAATTTTAGGCATGCATCCCCTAAAAAAAGGGGATGAAAATTTGTACAAAAATTTGTTAAAATCGGTTTTAGAAGTATGAATTTTGCAGACGTTCCTTATGTAACGTAATTTAGCACTAAGAAGCAATTTTTGGAAATTCGCCCTCTAAGGGTGTGAAATGAGGGGTTGAACGTTCTGTGGTTGAACGTTCTGAGTACGGTAACCAAAACTGTAACACGGGAATTATATAAGATAATATTATATGTAAACTGGCGGAGTGCGGAAAGACTGATTATAGCAATAGATAAAATTTAAAACTATAATTTATAACTATTCAAGAAAGTACACACAAAACAAGGCAACGCCGCGCGTCTTTTCGTTCAATTCCGAGCAAAATAGCGACGCCCCACGAAGTTGCGATCAAAAATTTAATGAAAAGGAGATAAATAAATATAAGTCTCATAAGAGATGTGTCTCTTTACAATACATTACTCGACCCCTCCATAGTTACCCTGTGAATAAATTAGATAATTCTTCCTTGACAGGTATGGAGGCCAGCCACCTACACCATCCACAGGCCATACTACATTCCAGTATACTCCGTTCCAAATAGGTACCCTATTTTCTACCCACCTCAGCCCGCCTACCACAACACCGGAACCCCAGTTGACAATCCGCTTTATCCGCCCTACCGTGGACCACCTTACCTTCCACCTCAGGTACCTTCAAGTACTGCCAAGCCAGAGGATGTGGGGAACCGCTTTGGAGATGACAATGAACGAGATGACCGACCTGTATGGGGTGTGGTGAATGCAGGATCGATGGTGGGCATGCCATTGAGTAACAGTAAGTACCAGAAAGATAGTGTAATGATTTAGGATTTTGGTTAAGTACTACTAAAACTTAAGAAAGGTCCTTTGCGTAGTGGCTATGGGTATAGTGGCTATTATTACATTTATTCCTAAACCAAATCATCTCTGTAACGCGTATAATAAAAAATATCCGTATTTGTACTCACCATATGTCCTTCCTTCTACTTTTTTAATTATAGCACTATAAAAACTTGAAGGTCGCTTAAATGCAAAAACTGCAGAACAAAATCCAAACAATAAAGTAAGATTATGTTGTCATATTTGACAGAATATCAATTAAATTATGGAAACTTTTCAGGCACAAAACGGGTACGAAATCTGTAGATGTGAGCCACATCTGTTTCGTAAATGTTTCGAAAAATTTGAGACACTAAGATCTTTATTTCATATGCAAGGATATAGCTTATGTAGCGAAACCATATTTTGATAAATGTTTTGAAACAAAAAGCGATTTATGTTACGAAACATTTGTATCAAAAATGTGACGAAACTGTTTCGCAATGTTTTGTGTCTAAAAATACTACTTGGGTATTTTTTCCTGAATCAATTCGTTTATTAGGTACTATTTTTTTCCTTCTCTTGCAGACGGCCAGAATGAAAACGAACCTATACCGACCAGATCACCCATTCCTTCAGCACCACTGCCACCCTTGCAGCACGAGGGCACTACAAACGAAAACGCACCACCAGCAGCGGCTGCAATTGCCAGACCACAATCAACTCCCAGTCCACAAGTGGGTCCCAGCAACTGCGTCTGGGCTATAGTCACCTGCTGCTCAGCTAGCAATCCCAAAGATGTATCCAACACCTGTTTCGAACAAAGAGGATGTCCTGGACCCTTCTGGGGCTCCAGTCCATGCGAGAGTGACTTTGCCAGAGGTGCCATAGCTGCCGCCATGAATTACTACAGTAGTGGCAAATAGGGGGTTGAGTGTTGTTGGTTGGTACTTGAATGAGTTAGTATGGGCTTCTGTCAAAGCGTTACACAGTCGTCTCACGTGAGAACATGTCTCTAAAATTAACACTTTTAAGTTATTTGATAAGTTAAACTCAAAACTTTTCACCAGTAGCTATTTTGAGAATGAATTTAATCATTGGAGTATAACTTTACTTGATAGGAAGAATATCAAACCCTTTTTGTAAATAGTTTACCAAATATCAAATAGTCGTAACTAACCAACTTATTTGGTCGAATTTTTTTTTTAAACTATATACAGGGTGGCATAAAAATAGCCGTCTTAGTTGTCTAGGAACCAGAGCAGAGTTTTTCACGAGATGTATTCTTATGTGAGTCTGACAGTCTTGAATTGACTGAATTCATAGTGCAGCAGTTTTTGTGATGATTTTTTATGACTATTGTAAAGAAATATGCATTATATTGTTCTTTACAAAAAAATGTTTAACAATTATTACTATTTTTTCTGGTTCAGAGCATGGGACTCACATCATATTTTAGTGAGTTAGCTTACAGTCACTTAAAAAATAAATAAAAGAAGTTAAAACAAAATTAATTTTTGATTTTAATAAAGTTGCGTTGGTGGTGCATACATAAAATTGAAAAAATCAAATTTTAAAAGTGTTTTAATAATTCAAACATGACTTTGCTATGCTAGTAACCTACTTGAATTTGGTGTTAGTGCTATGCCCAGAACCACAGATATAGTACAGAAGATTTAAAAAATAGTAATACAATTTTACGTTAATCATGTTTAACGTATAATATTGTAAAAATTGTAAATTAAAAAATAAGTTTTTAACTGATTTTGTGTTTTAGAACAATATAATGCATACAATGTTCTATTGAACGATTTTAGATATACTTATTATACACATTATATGTGTATGACAGATCCTGATATACAGAGTGATCCGCACTGTTCTGCACATAAAAATAAATTAAAAAGTTCGTAAAAATTTGTTCGTACGTTCTAAAATCTTATTTATGTTTAAAATATTATCTGTATCTTAGTTTCGGAGATACAGGGTGTAGAAGTTTCATTTTTATTTCGACTTTTACCAAATAATTTCTGAAGAATCGTCAATATTTAGAGAAATTTGAGTTTTGAAGAGTAATAACTTTTCGTCCGTACCTGTATAAAACTACTGGGTGAAAAAATATACATTTCTGTGATTTTTTACGTAAAAAATGGCTCTTGGTAAAAATCGTTACTTCAGAAATTATTTGAAAAAAATCTCGAGATAAAAATGAAACTTCTACACCCTGTACCTGCAAAACGAAGCATTTTTAAAACATACATTTACATGAACTTCTTTACTTATTTCCATCTGCAGAATATGCTGCCGAAGTTTCCGGAGTACAGTTCGGACCACCCTGTATATGACACGCCAAGCGGTAATACAACAAAATATTAAATATTTTATTTCAAAAAAAAATTCTAACCTTGTTTCCAAGGTTAAATGTTTGATAAAAAAATAATTTTGTGTTAAAGACACAAAACAATCATATAAACAGCAACTCTACCAAAAAATAAAACAAAAAAATCAATCGAATGAAGATTAAATAACGATGGCATTCTATGTTCCTTAATAGAAATAAAATTAATTTTAGTTTTAAGCGATTATTTATTTTTATAACTTAGAATTTTTAAGTCCTTTTTGCTGTTCAGTTATAACACTGTCCATTTATTGTACATTAATGTTTTGCTATTAATAAAAATTATTAAAAAGATCGGTATAATAAAAGAACAATTAGGTAGTTTTATTGGTTAGTTATTATATCCAAAGAGTTGAGTTCAGTAAAATAGATTTCATGTACCAATAAATATATTATTGGCGTTATAAAGCTGAGTATTGCGGAAAAGATCCCATTAAATCGGTGGAAAATGATTCATTTTCCAGTGGAAAAGGCCATGAAATATCGTAAGAGAGGTAAAAGGAAAAAAAAAAGAAAACTTTGCCACCAGGAGATAACGAAATATAATACAGCTTTTCTAAAATCTTGTAGACTTTTCTTACATTAAATAACTTTCATCAATTTTCCTTCTTTCATGACTTGCAAATAAAAGTCACTATTAAAGCAGTAGAAGTTAGGAATGGGTAAGAATGGATTTTACCTATCGATAACTTATTGCAATTCACCTATCGATATAATCATCATCATTTTCAGCTTATTCAACTGCCTGACGTTCAAAGCTGATTTTTGACAGACGGATTGACTGTGGGGTGTAGAGGTTCGATAAGGAGGGGTTTCTCGATTGTTTTTTCTCATGCCGATATAAATGTGAGAAAATTTTATCCATTTTGTATGTTAATGGAAATTCTTGCTTTGCTTTATCATCACCATTACAAATGATTAATTCGACGCCAACGAAGTCGCTGGTACACGCTAGTAAGCTTATAAAGCTGATGAGATTGACAAACAATACCACGTGCAGATTTTGCCAATCTATAGAAAAAACAACGTATTTTATATTAGTACTGTAATATGTTATGGTCTTGAAATAAAACTATACTAGTTAGTAGTATTCCGTGTTACCAAATAACAATAAAAGGGAGTTACAACAATTAGAAAATGTGCAGATATATTCGTGCCTACGTGACCAACTAGTATCTAGCTACAGATGACTGTTTTGTGTCTATTGTCAACTAGAGAGCTACTGCACTTAAATGATAGGGACATGTCGCCTCTTATCACACAAGTACTTCAGACATGGTAATTTTATAGAACTATATAATATTAAGTTCAGAAAAAAATAGTTCTCTTTCCAAAAAAATATTTTCTTAAAACTTTAAACCACACCATTTAAAAATAATTTTACTCAATATAAATAGTTATTTTTCAAGTGTTATACAAGACGATAAATGGTATTTTATCGTCGACCAAATTAATTCACGAACGATGAATTCGCGAGTGAATTAATTTCGAGAGACGATAATACAATTTTATCGTCGCACAGTTCTTCGTCCCATGGACGGACAAAAATCGAAAAAAATAAGTTGAAATTTACTAATATCTGAATATAGTTAATTTTATACTTATAGCAATGTTCAACCATCCTGTATATAATTTTTCATAAACAGCGTTTTTGTTAGCAAATATTTTCACTAAAAATAAAATTTGCAATCATTATCTTATCAGTGAAAATAATAACATTCATAGTAGTTCTTGTATATTATGGAGTTAAACGGTACGTACTTAATTGAAAGCCAAAGATTGTCAAAACGCAATAGAGTCACTACTGACATAAGACACTCAGCAATAAGCATATCCAGCTGATGGAATTGGACGGACAATGCCATGTGCAATTTTTTGCCAATCTGAAGAAGAATCGACAGAACATATTTCATGTTGATACCTGGCGAATGTGCTATTCTTTATACATTATGGGGTGTCCGAACTTGGTATTCCGGAAATCCTCGGCAGCATATTCTACAGATAAAATAAAGTAAAAAAGTTCAAAGTATGTCCTAAAATGCAAGAGTTTCAGATACAGGGTGTGAGAGATTTCATTTTTATTTCGATTTTTTTTTTCAAATAATTTCTATTGATGTAAAATTGGTATCTGGGAGTTTGGATTAACATACAGAAATTTGATTTTGACTTGTCAATTAGACTCCCACTTGCCCTAGAGGAAGCCACTAACATATTTTTTAAGATGATTCTTAAATGGGTATAAAAATTTTATTGCTTTTCAAACTTCAAAAAGGCATATAAAAAAATATATCAAAAACATATCGTATTTATTGAATATTTTTGTTGTCATATTCAAACACTTTTAATTTTTGTATAGTTCACCTATCTGCTTGCGACGAACTTTATTTTATAATACTTTTCAGATGGAGTAAAATTGATAAGCAATGCCGATCTGGTTAATACTTGGCTTGATCATAAGAACAAGAACTCAAAATTATTTGTATTTCAAAAAATGTGTTCTTTATTAGATATTGATGAACCTTCCAGTCAAATGAGACACCACTTGTGCCTGAAAAAAGTCCACTATGTTGGAGCGAAACGTCGCATAAAAAAGTTTCCATCTTTCAATTTATTATAAAACCTCATACCCAAGAAAAGGAAAAATAATATATGGATATTTTTTTTCAGTCAAATAACTTAATTACTTCCTCCTCTTTATCTCTCTCTCAATATGTTTTTATTTCTTATCAATGATACATGTATTGACTATTTCTTTCAAATATCTTGAGAACACGCTCGTAGCGATTTTTACTACCTGACTTCAACACCAGGAATCTAGATTTCGAGAGTCTCGTATGGTCTCGTCTCATTTTCTAGGACGAGACTCGAACTTATGATATTGCTTAATACGGAGACGAGACTTTTATTGGTACCGTCTCGAGTGCTCAGGCTTCTCGTCATCTCCAGAATCTCACAGGGTGCAAGAAAACTCTTCACTTAAAAACCAACTTTATTTCTCCAACTGCAGTTTCTGTGTTTGGTTTGGGGGAGTCGAGACTTCTTATTTTGTATCGGCGAGACGAGACAAGACTTTATGAGAGTCTCGTCTCGTTGGTCTGTGGGAATCACTGGGACATTTACCAAGTAACATATTAGAAAATGATGTACAGAAATATCTTATATGTGAGGATACTTCATCTACCTTTGATTTGGATACTATAAATGTGGAAGATTCTGTCAGCAGTGATTCTTCTGAATCAGAGTAGTTACGATCTATGCATTTTGTTGTCCTAAAGTAAATTTATAGTATCTTAAGTTTTTTTTAATTAAATATAACATTAATGTTTCTTTTCATTAAGAAAAATATTTTTATCTTATATTAGGCTTATATTGTAGGAATCATGTTCTAATGTTATTTCAATTCTTTTTTTATCACAAGGATTTATTTAATTCTTACACCGTTTTCATACTATAAATTATTATTTGCTTAGATGGAACACAGCTCCAACATTTTTATTATTTATAAGATTTTTTTTCATAAACGTGGAACTAAGAACATCATCATTTAGTACAATGAGAGTACTCATCACTTATGAAAAGAATACAACAATTTTCAAAAATGGAAGTAATTAAAAAACGTGCGAGAAGAAATAGTAAGTTTTAACCTATCCTCGCTGTTAAAGTATTATTTAATTTACCCTTGCTGTTAAAGTACTATTTTATCTACTATTTTTGATAGATATAAGTTAATTTTAACAGTTGCTATGGAAAAAAATAAATTACAACCCTCTTAAGGTCTACTAACTGGCAGTAAGCGAAATTAAAAAATAAAGAAGAGTACGGACCCAGTAAATGACGTCTAAGGCTTGACCTAGCCAAAATTATCATCGATTCTCATTCCGCAGCCGCCTCTAACGCCGATTTTTTTTCGATCGTATAGTATTATTCCTTGAAAGCATTATTCGAGAAAATTTAGGTGATTTTCTATTAAATTAGAGCGAAATTTGTCCCACTGGACGGATCAACGATTCGTTTTAAACCGTTCCAAGCCATCGATCTTTTTCACTCATAAACTATATAGACGAGCCGAGACGAGGCAAAGAAAAAAAATACAAGACGAAACATCTATCATCGTTTTCGTGCAACCCGATGCCAATTTGTCAAAATTAGCTCGTTCCAAAGTCGTCGACTGAGACTTAAAACCAGAAAAAAAAACTGGAAACTGGAGATAGTCGTTCAATTTTTCATTGGAAATTGGACTCGAGTCCATGAAGTTACTAGATATTAACATCAATTTTCTGCTTTTTATAAATAGCGTTCCTCGCAAACTTTTTTATAGGGTGTTTCGTAGCTACAGGGTGTTAAAGTTTTAATATTTTTTCGATTTATTTTAATTTTCTTCCAAGTACTTTTAGCGTTTCGAATGAAATTTTGAGGGTAAAAGTTACTATAAATGCGGCATATTTTAGTGCTAAAAAAGTGTCGACATATTCACCAGGGACGTGCAAATGGGTTATCACTGGAATATTTTTCTAAAAAA